TAGAAGCAGAAGTACCATAGTAACCTTAAAATTATAATAGTATTAAATCAGCTCTCATCTTGGAAAAACTTTCTGAAGTTCAAATTGCCTTAACCAAATTCAATTCTGGGACAGTTTTCTCTTGCTTAGTTTCAATCTTGTGGAATTGTGTATGTCTGAATCCAGTGTGATGCAGTGTGAACCTCCTATGTGGAGAGTTGGACCTTACAAACAGCAGCCTGAGTGACCTTTGACAGACAAGCTCCATGTTGCTTAACTGTGAAGGTTGCTGTTCTGTTCTCCTTATCAGCCTTTACTTTTTTTTTTCTTGGCTATTTTCCACTCCTGACACTTTAAAAATAAAAATGTTTTCGTTGTTCTTGGGGGTTTACTTTCTGCATTTGTGATTACTAGTTTTACAGACGTGAGGTTTCCCAGTTTAACAATATTATTGTGACTGTGGAGAGAGCTGTGCCTTGAAGAAGAGACACGTGTATATCTTTAGAGAATGAGAGGATAAAGCAAGTAGGAAGTCTCAAATATTTGGGGATATATGGAAGATGATTTCCAAGAGCACTGTCTTCAGTAGCTTGCAAATATCGAGCACCTTGGGCATTTTTACTGCGCTTTGCATGTAATGTCTATTTGCTCGGCTTCAATACAAGTATGTGAGGAAAATTTCTCTTTGCATATACACTGCAATTTCTGCTTTTAGCAAGGTCAAATATATACTTAAATTCTAGCTTTTTCTTTTTGAGAGGAAATACTAGGTCTTCATTGCGGCAGAAGCTACACAGGTGCAGGATGTAGAGTACAGAGCTGAATGTGAATTTTACACGCAGACCTTTAGAAGGATGGACAGTATGAGTGAGTGCTCTAAGAGGATGGAATACAAAGTTTGATGCAAGAAGAGGGTGCTACATTGAACACATGATGTTTTTGTTGCTCTATATTACATTTGTAAAAGGAACTGATGCTTCTCAGCTCCTCCCTGCCAGTTAGGCAACAAAACACATGTAGCCATTCTGTTGTAAAATGTCTTAATATGTCTTTTAGGGCAGGTCTTTTCAGCCTGACACTTGTTTAGCTGGGACTGCTCTATTCTTTCTAATTCCCAGCCCTGGTGCCCAAATTTATTGCTGAAGCTCAGGCTGTCTTCTGAGTCCTATGATGACTGTAATGCTTGGCTATATGGAGTCCCATGGGTTTTTCTCCATAGATCTCATAAGAACCAAGTAAAAATAGTGTCTTGTATTTAAAGAAAGTGATTTTGACTATTGAATATGTGTATCCAATAATGATTTGAGTTGTTCTTTTTCCAGTACAATGGTGCAGACACTGAAGTATGTGTATCAACAACACGGAATACGAAGAGGACTGTACCGTGGTTTATCTCTAAATTACATTCGTTGTATTCCTTCCCAGGCCGTGGCTTTTACCACATATGAACTTATGAAACAATTCTTGCACCTCAACTGATTCTTTTCTTTAGAAGACTTTTCTGTAAAACTACACTATCAATCCTCAAATTATATTGATGAGTAAATTACTTGAAGTTGAAAAAAAGCTCTCTGTTACTGTGGACCTGCTGTTGTCTGATATCTTTATTTGCCAAAATGCAGTTGATTTCCTGGAGTCAAACCAGGTGACAGATCAAAATAAACATTAGTTAGCTCTAAACACTTTTTTTGCACTTGATCTTCTAGGCTTCATTAGATTAATGTTAAGAATGACAGTTTGAAAATTACACCCACATTTTATACAGGTTCCAAGCAGTTAGTTATTGAGCTTTATCACCATTCCAGGACTTATGTGCTGCTGGTTATGCTGCTTTTTAAGCTGGTAATTAAGGCATGTGTTGTTCTTTAAAAATTAAATGGAATAAACTGATTTGAACATAATGCAACGATTTTGGTATTCAGATACTTGCCAGGTGTGTAGAAGCTGAACTCAGCAGACCACAATTTAAGCCTCTTTTCCTGTACAAATTTTCTGTATGCAAGAACAATGCATATGTCTTGAGATTGGTACGTAGGAAAGTCTCTTCAACCATTTCAGTAAAAAACTACAAGATGTATTTAGCAGTGTTAGAAATCTTGCAATTTGGAAATCAGTTTCCTGGCATACATTCTATTCTAAAAAATGCTGTGCCTACACAAGGAAAGGCAGGGGGGACTTTCAGAGTGATGAGTGCTAGAAAATATCTCCTTAAGGCAGGTGGGAGGGGCCTGATCCTACAAGGCTTTTCTGTATCTTTTTTGTGGAGCTGAATGTTCTTGGTTTGAAGGCCGAGTGTGTCGTGTACTTTGCAGGACTAGCTGGTGTAAACAGGTTTTTCCCTACCTGCAGCCAGGGTGACAAACAGGACTTGCTGCATTGACTTGTTTAGGCATATGGACCATATCCAACAGAAAGGCCAATTAAGATTGTACTGGAGTCTGTAGGTGTGTGTGTGTGTACTGTTTCTGAAGTATGGTATGCAATAGACTATGACATCTTTTCCTTCTCCTACAATTCCTTTTGCAGAAGGAATTATTTTATACGTGATCTGCCATTGGTACTCTTGATTCAGGAAACTGTAAAGCATTTACTTTATGTAAGTTATTTATTTATTGTAAATATTTTAGCAGTGTCTTTTAAGGATTGGCAATGGCTACATTAAGCGGTGGATGGTAAGATTGTTAAATTTATCAAAATTAAGCAAATCAAAACTGGAATTTGAGTTACATATTCAATACCAGCTTTTGTTGCTCAGTTTTTTTCCTTCAGTTTCTTAAAAGTATGTATTTCTTTGATATTTACAATGTAGCTATGGACAGAGAATGAGATGTATCTGAATTTATTTTATTAAAATTTTTGAACTAATGTCTTTGTGTGATTTGTATGTGTTGCAGCCAGAAGGAATGCATGCTTCTGGAAGTATCTGTATGTTTGCCCTTGTAGGTAAATATGCATAACATAGTCATTCTTAATTAAGAGACGACAAATAAGATTTTTCATCTGGTCTTTAGTTTTACCTAAAGGAAAACTAACCAATATCACAGTAAATTTTTACCTTTTAAAGTTCTTGCAGTAAGGATAAATCCACTGTATTGGGAAAAAAAGTGCTTTTTTTCTCTCTGTATTGTTTTACTGTGTGAGCAAATAAGCATCTTCTCAGGTGCCTGTTATTTGTCATGTTAATACTGTTAAGGATGATCAGACTCTTACATCTTAACTTCACTAAAAGGGATATATTTGAGGAATGTGGGGTAAGTTAAGCAGTTCTTAGGCGGAATAAAGCAGAATCCAAAACATTCACACTTAAGAGGAAAAGAACAAAAAAAGTGTCCCCTAATTGAGTTGGCTATTGAATGTGAAAAACATAGTGGATGGAACTGTCCTGCATTTTTAAGATTAGTTTTTCAAAATAAAATTTAAAAGTGTATGAATAACTTTAAATTTGAAAGTTTTAATATTAATTCCTGAATTTACGCAGTTAAACTTGGAGAATGCTGATGTATCTTAAAGCTGTAAGCATTTTTCTCAACCACTGATGTCAGAAAGAATTAAAAGAGCCATAGTCTGAACATGTCTGTGCAACTTTTGGTGCTAAAGTAACATTTGGTATTTTTTCTGGATTTTGCAGACTCTCCATAGAGATTCACCAGATTGCTTGAATTTTAGATAACTTCAAAAAGATATTTAAAGCGTGTTTTGTGCTTTACAAACATACACTAGAAAAGAAATAGAATATGAGAGATGTATAGGCGACATGAGAGACTACAGAACACAGGATTAGCAAAGTGTACACAGCATTTATGTAATCTCTTAATAGCACACCAAATTATGTGAATAGTATTGACACATAACTATTAAATTATAAGTACGCTTATCTTAGGGGTTCTGCAATGCAAAGCAATATTAATATAGCTTACTGCATATATTTCAGGACTATCCCAAATAAAACTGAAGGAGGGTTAAATTAAGAATGTTCTCACCTTTTAAAATTCATGTATTAGAATTTGATCCTTCTGTTGGGGTGTCCAACCATGGGCCGAAACCATCATCTTTACAGCAGAGGCTCATGCTGTTTCCCAGTGTTTGTCTACATTAGAGATAAAACCCAAACTCTTAATACATCATTTCCCGATATTGGGCTGGTAATCTTGGTATTTGCCAGTGATACTGATGTACTAAGAATAGATTTAATACCTGCGCCCTTCAATCTTTGCTAGAAGTGATGGTCTCATTTCCAGAATGCTTTGCTGAAGTAGTGGTTTTATGGCCAAAAAAAAAAAAGCAAAGAAAGGAAACCTACACATCTGAAACTTCAGTACCATAGAAAGCCTCTGCTGAGTAGCGCCAAACGTAACAACATGTCTTTATGAGGGAAGGAGTTTGACTATCGGGCTGAGATGGCCCGTAAGTGAATTGGGAGCAGAAGTATGTCGAACATTACCTCATACCACCGGACCCGTAACAGAAGCAGGGGTGGGGATGGGACAGCCCTTGACAGAGTTGAAATAAATGCCGGGCACGGCCGAGAACGATGCGGTTGTCCCTCGCAGCCCCCCATAGCCCTCATAAGCACTCACTGCCTCCCACAGCCCCTCACAGCCTCCCAAAGCCCCTCACAGCCCTCATAAACACTCACAGCCTCCCCCAGAGCCCTCAAACGCTCACAGCCCTCCATAGCTCTCACAGTCTCCCCCAGCCCCTCATAAACGTTCACAGTCCCCCACAGCTCTCGTAGCCTCTCTCAGTCTCCCACAGCTCTCACAGTCCCTCACAGCCCCTCATAAGCGCTCACAACCCCCCAGAGCCCCTCATGGGCGCTCCCCGCCCTCAGCACCGCTCGTGCCCCCTCGCGGCGCAGGCCCCGCCCTTTTCCCCCCTTCCCTCCCGGTTGGCGCGAGGAGCCGCGCGCCGCTCCGCGCCTTGGGCCCGCGCGCGCGGCAACCGCCCTCCCGCCGCGTCCCATTGGCCCACGCTGCCCGCGCTGGGCGGGGCCTGCGGCGCTGCCGTGAGGGGCCTGAGGGGACTGGGGGGCCGTGTGAGGGAGCAGCGGGGCCGAGGTGCGCTGTGAGGGAGCCGTGTGAGCCGCGGGACGGGGCAAGCCGAGCCGAGCGCCGCACGAGACCTGCCCATGGCCGAGAGGTAGCAGCCGAGCGCGGGGAAGAGCAGCTGGGCGGAGACGACCCGTAGCGCGGGGAATTCGAACTTTAGAAAGGCTCCCGGCTCCGCGCGCGGGAAGGCGGGATGGGGGTCCCGAGGGCCGCCGGGGCCGAGCCGCGGAGGCAGCATGGGGGAAAGGTGGGGAGCCCTCGGGACCGCCGGGGGTAAGCGGGGAGGGGAACCCGACTCTGCCGAGCGGGTGAGGAGTGCTTGCGCCGGGCAGGGCGGGCGGCGGGGCCGCTGGAGCTCCGGCAGGCACAGCTCGGTGCCAGGAGAGCGGCCCTGCTGCTCTGTCTCAGGCTTTGGCTATTGGAGAACTGAGCCCTGAATATCAGTTTTCTAATCGACTTCAAGTTAATGGGTTAAAAAGATTACTGCTCCGTGTTTGAGGTACTTGGGTGACCGGGAGTTCGTGTGTGCAGGGAGATAGAAGCTTTCTCACAAGCACAGGGTTTGCAGTGCAGTTATAATGAACTTTCAAGTGAATATGGATACGTGGACATCAAAATGAAGCACTTGCAATAAATAGCCACTTACTTAGTATTTATGTCTCCTTCCTTACGTCTCCTATGTCCAAATGCTTGTTTTTCATCCCTGTCATCCAAAAAGAATGTGAAAACATCACCAGAGAGCTTTACCTGTGTAGAACTGCAAAACCACACTAAATATGTATGAAAATTGAAGGGGATTAAAGTTGAGTTTATATTTGAAGCTTTTCCTTGCTTTGTATATAGGCTGGCTGTTTTCAGGTAGTGTTCTGTCTCTTAATGAGCTGTTCTTCAGTTTTCAGAAGAAAGCGGCTGACTGCCCTGACACGATACTGAGGAAGGGGCTGAACAACAGATACCGTGTGCTGGAAGTCAGCGTGATACAGAGAAATGGAAGTGACCCTGAGAAACACTTGAGAATTACAGCATCTCACTCACTAGAAGATACAGAGCTGTGCATTCTTAGGAATGGCTGGTAATTCATTATGTAGATGTCTGAAAAGAGAATGAAATACTGGATTATTAAGTAAATTTTCTTTGTGTTGCCTTTGAGAGCAGTCTTACTGCCTTAGAAATGATACAAAATCCTGAAGCAACCTTTATTTAATGTAACATTATCAGTATGTCAGCATAATGGATATTCATCTTGAGAGAACTGATGTCAGGTAACTTGTGTTGAGTGGGTGTTGCTACTTTGCCTTTGTACTGACAAACAGCAAGGCATTAAACTCTAGGCAGGCTATTTTGTTTAACTGTTTTGCATTAATTAGAAGTGTCCTTCCAAATTATGTACCCTCATTGTACGTATAAATGTACCATGCCACATCTGTAAAACAGGAAGGCTTTTTGCAGCCTGTTAAAATCACCTTAGCTCGAGCCCCACTGCAAAAGTTGTTTTCAGGTAAGGATAAGATTCTAATTTAGAACTAATTGTGTTGCATGGTGTGTTACAGGAGAAAAGATTGGATAGTATTTTGAAACACATGGGGGTGCATGTGCTATTTGGCACTGCTTTTCATTTTCTGTCCAAGACTGAAAAGTGGGAGACAAATATAAGACATTATTTCTTGAAGGAAAAAATATCTAAGATCTTGAACCCTGAAATTTCCAAACCATTCCAAATATTTTTAGATTTTGCTGAGTTTCTGAAACAAATAGAATTAAGTAAGAAGGTAGAACTCATGTAATGCAAAAGCAGTAAAACATAACAATGCTGAAATAGTTCAACACATCAGCCTGGAATGACTTGAAGTCAACAGGATTTCCCTACTTACAGGCTGTCCTGATGCATGATCCAGTACTCAAAATAATGGGTTTTGTCAGTAAAAATGCCTTTATTCACTTTCAGGATTTATTTAAGTCAACTTCTTAAAAAAAGACTCCCAATAACCTCCTGTTTCAAAGAACTGCGTCTGCCGTGTTAATGTGTAATTATTGATACGTTGTGTCCGTATTGCCAATGACTGTTCCAATGTATTCCATCGCAGGGAGTCTGTTCCTGTTGTTCCAGGGGACATCCTTCATTTGGAAGGGGAATGTAGCTCCGGCACGTGGGTCATCAGTGACCAGTGTGGGTACCTGGTTCTGTACCCAGACCTGCTGCTCTCTGGCACTACGGTATCAAACAGCATCCGCTGTATGAGAAGGGCAGTGCTGAGCGAACGGTTCAGGGTAAGAGTGAATTCCAGACTGTCAGGCCTCTGATGAGTTTCTGCTCTGTTGAAACTGGTGGGTTCACTCAGTATTCATTCTGGCTGTGATGCTGTACTGCAAAATGTCCAACACAGAATAATTTGGGATGGAAACTGTCTCTGGTTGAAATTCTTGGTGTTTTTTGAAAATTGCAGCTGAAATAATCCAGTATTTTTAACACGGTTACTGGGCTAAAGAAGTGGTCTTTCCACTTAAAATTCTGATAACTTCTTTGATAATCTCTTGCCACATTTTGTGTGGGTATAAATCCTTTGTGAGGGATGTGCCCCTCATTGTTTGTATGAAAACATTACCACTCTTGGCCAAGAGCCTCTGAAAAATAAGAATCTGAATCCAGCTGCTGGACCTTTGAAAGAGATTTCTTGTGGTAGTATCCTTGCTGATATGTGGATGGCAGAGAAGCAACAGCTGCCAGTCTCAGCTCATGAAAACTTCCAGACAGGATAGGAATATAAATCCAGATGAGTAAGGGAATTGTAATGGAGTGGTAAACTCCCAGCCTGGCTGGGAGTCTGTGACTGAAACAAGAAAATTAAGTACAGGAAATTAAGACTGGGAAATGGTGTCAACCCCTTATCAGAGGAGTGATGGGAATAGAATAATTGTCTGGGACAATGCACTGACAACCCCTGACACTGGGATAACACCATCCACATTGTGAGTGCAATCCACAAGTGACTGGTCTGTAAGAGATACTGTAATATCACAGTGATTAGACTTCCAGTTGTTTGGTGGTGACTCACACAGAGGTCGTTTTGCTACCACTTTCAGTTCTTGTGACTCTACAGAGCCCAGCGCTGCTGATGGGTTTCTGAGCCATTTTGGAGATACTTGGAATGATTCTCCTGTGAGTTGGTAACACACAGGAAACTGCTTTGTGCAAAAAATATGTGTAAGATTGTAAAGGTAAGTATTTGCATTAGGAAATACTATTGTTTTGCCCACAGGCAAAACTTTCTCAAAATTCACTTTAATCTGCGCCTTTGTTTCTCACCTATCAATCACATAGGGATTGTATCCTAACATTATCAGGGTTGGGATAAACATGAGAGCTAAAGCAATAGGAGAGACTCATTTCAATTTGGCTGCTTTCATAGTTGGGTTTGACTGGACAGTAATTAGTGAGGTGAAAGCTGTCATGATCTTGCAATTAAATAAGTGCAGTCCATGATTTGCAACAAAGAAACCCCAGAAATTTTATAGTAAAGTTGGTATGAAGTGGCATAAATCTTGATTTATTGTAACGTCTGTTGCAGGGCTCAGAGTCTGGTTCGCGCCAAATGCTCGTTGGTACAATTCTTCATGACATTTTCCAGCAATCAGTAACAAATGACTTGACACAAGAAAAAGTACTAGAACTAGCAAATAAAATTGTCTATGGACAAAAGTATCTCAAAGAAATGTAAGTAACATTACAAGTGTCTTTTATGTTTGGAAGACAGGGCAGGAACACTTTAAGTTACACTTTAGAAAACGTAGCACTACTATCTGGAGAGTATTGTGCCAAATGACTTTGCTTGATGGAAATGGGGTACCTTTTAGTAAGATAATTCCCCATTTAATAATGTAATTTTGTTTACCTTCCCTGCTGAGCTACTTCTGTGGATCCAAACTGTGCTTCTGGAGTAACTGTATATGTGGGGATTTATTCCTTCAGGACAAGCAGGTTGCAGTGTTTGTGCCTGTAACATTAGATTTCCAGGCTGATTTAAATGTGACAAACAAAATTAATTATTATCCTCAGGAGATGAACTAGAAATTTGTGACTGACCAAGCATTGAATGTCTGAGGTTTTCATATTCTTTATCAGGTTACTTAAAGGCTCAGTTGCTAAAAGATGTTTAACTTATTTTCTCAGCAAAGCTGATAGAAATGCTAGCCAAATAAATAGTCTTAATATTTCCATCAGAAAATGGTAAGATGAATGGCTGTCAGTTTTAGCATTTTACTGCAGACTTCATTAAAATCTAATTCTACTCATGTAAAAAATAAAAATCATTATATTTAGACTCTTAAAAATTGCCTGTTGGGCAATGTCAGTATCTTTTAGCCCCAGATGAGTTGCAAGTTAAAACTGTAGAAGGAAGATTTATTACTCTGGTTCTGTTATGAAGGTAATATTTTGAAATGTGACTGCTAAGATTACTTAAAGGCCTTTGTCACCCTGGGCCTCCATGAAACTGTTAATTTGCAATTCCTTTTTGCATATGCAGGCCACTATTTGTTGGGGTTGGAAAGTAAACTGCTTGAGTCTGCTGGCTGTGGTTGTTTGCACTTGTATGAAGCTTTTTGTGCAAAACCCACTTGTATTTCTCTGTTGCTGTAGAATAATGATGTAATTTCCAGTGAATGCCAGCTTAACTAAGCTGTCATTATCTACAATTTTTAGATGCTTATTAAAACTTGACAGTTACTGTCATTAATCTTGTGGATACTCAAGACAAAATCTCTTTAGTACCAGCAGCAAATCTAATATTTCTTTCTCCTTAATGTGCGTGGCTTTATTTTTCAGGTATCACTTAAATCTGAAACAAGCAGAAATAATGCAGGAGGTGGAAGAATATTTGCCATCATTTTTTAAATGGGCAGAAGACTTCATGCACAATCCAGTGAACCAAAATGAAATGCAACTAAAACTGTAAGAAGCCAGGAATTAAAAGTTAAAGCCATTCTATATTGTGTACCTTCTTTAGTTCACTTTTAATTTTCAGAACAATGCTTTTCCTGCACATCTGTTCAGTGATTTGTAGCTAATTCATGGCCTCACTGCCAGTGTAGCTGATCTAGAGCTGCATGTTTAGCTGCCATAGTGAGTACTGGGGCAAGACATGAAGCCTGAGGGTGAACTGACATAAAAATCTTACTGGTCTTAAAATCCTTGTGAACAGTGTGGTACAAACTAGAGATTTTAGTGATTAGAAAGGCAAGCATATTTGAGCTGCTGACTAAGCTAGCACTTACTGTTGATATGTGCAACACTACAAATCAGAATGTGAAAGTAGTAATCAAATTGAATTTTTGACTGATTCAACAGTAAAATGGTGATTTAATTCAACTGCTGCTGAGCTCTTCTTGTCTATAGCTTCTTGCTGTTAATTGTAATAACCACAGGGTGTTAAAGTTTCAGTGAAATGGCAGGTCTAGGTAAAATCTGTGTGCTGCTGTCCCGTGTATATAATTAATTTTTTTTGTTTTAGAGTGTGGTTGTTGACAAAAGACCAAAGACAATTACAAACAGTTTAAGAGTCTTATTTAAAATTTGAAATTCAGGTGAATAGCAAAACTACTGTTAGTTTCTGATATGACACTTCCTCTGTTAATGGGAAGAGAGTTTGAGTGAGACTCGATGCATTTTATTTTTAAAGTTAGTTCCTAAAGAGAACCTGTAATGCAAAAAAATTACATATTTATTTGCAACACATTTTTATGTTTAAATATTAAGAATTAAGCAAAATTGTTAACTTCTGGCTTAATTTTTCTTCCTAGGTCAAATGGTGAAAAACCAGAAGTTGTATCTTCTAAGATAGAGATTGTAGATATCTTGGACATCGAAGAGAATATCTGGTCTCCCAGGTTTGGGTTGAAGGGAAAGATTGATGTTACAGCCAGGGTGAAAATCCATTGCCAGTCTGGAGTACAGTCTCGGATAATGCCATTGGAGCTCAAGTCTGGCAAGGAATCTAACTCCATAGAGCACAGAAGTCAGGTACAAACACCCATTGTCCAGTTTCACTGTCAGAGACTGTGGATACTTTCTTGTTTGATTAGATGAACTATTTTGCCTTATGACTGTGACCACTTTTTGGTATACTCTAAATTCAGGGGTGGCTGATCCTGGCATGCCCAAAGCTCCTGGTATAAAATGAAAGTGAACTGAGGAGTAAGAAGTACATACATTTACCACTTCCAAACACATTTTTGGTTTTTATCCTGAAATGTGTTCTTTAGTCTCTTCTTGCTACTTTCAAATATTAGGTTGAGGCAAACTGCTTCAGGAATTAGTGCTGTGCATATTTCCAGATAGCTGGCCTGATCTAGAGGCAGAAGTCTTGTTAATAACCTCTGAAGTTGCCTTTTAGTTTCAATCCTTGGTCAGGTTCTTACTGCTTACGGCTTCTAGAATGCTTGTGACAATAATGAGTGTTTAGCCATATAAATTATGGAAGAGCTGAATGCTGTTTAGAATGTATTTTGGTTTTAATACTGTGCTGGTTTTGCCTGGAGTAGACATAAATTCCTTCACAAGAGATAGTATGGGCTGTGTTTTGGATTTGTGCTGAACGCAGGTTGATAATGGAGATGTTTTTGTTATTGCTGAGCAGAGCACACACAGAGCCAAGGCCTTTCCTGCTCCCTGTCCTGCCACACTGGGGAGGAGACTGGGGGTGATGGGAAGTTTGGAGGGGAAACAGCAGGGACAGGGGATCCCAGCTGACCAATGGGACATTCCAGACCGTAGAGCTGATCACTGTGCTCAGTGTATGATGTGGGGGAAGGAAGGGGGGAGCTTGAGGGGATGTGTTTGGAGTGATGGTGTTTGTCTTCCCAAGTCACCATTACACAGGATGGGGCCCTGCTCTCCTGGAAGTGGCTGAACTCCTGCTGCCCATGGGAAGTGGGAATGAATTCCTTGTTTTGCTTTGGTTGTGTGCATGGCTTTTGCTTTCCCTGTTAAACTGTCTTTATCTCATGAGTTTTCCAGCTTTTCCCTTTCCTTTTCCCTCCCCAATCCCACTGGTGGGGCAGTGAGTGAGCAGCCGTGTGGTACTTGGCTTTAAACTTGGGGTTAAACCACGACAAACATATTGCAGTAAGTTTCTATCGAATGTTTGCAGGTTATTCTGTACACACTGATGAATTTAGAGCGGAGAGCAGATCCTGAAGCTGGATTTCTTCTTTACCTCAAAACTGGTACAATGTATCCTGTTTCTGGAGCCCGCCTGGACCGAAGAGGTAAAGTTGTTCCCCTTCCCTGGAAACCAGAATTATCTATTGCTAAAGCCTCTCATGTTGCCTGTAAGGTTTCCTTTTACCAAAATAGCTGTACTTAGGGATACATCACGTATTATAACATCACTACTTCCAATAAGCTTATGTTAAAAACTCTATTATTTTATTAATATAGCACAGGGACTTTGTTATGTGAATAATCACTTCTTAGCTGAGTAAAAAGTTGATAGCTAATTACTTTTGAGTTCGAAACTGTTGCAAACAAAAACATCAACTTAGTTGGTTCTTTTCTTGACAGAATTAATGAAGTTGAGAAACCACGTGGCCTTCTACTTAGCGCACAGTACCTACAAATCTGCCGTGGGCAGGCAGCATTCACAGCTTGCTGCTTTGCCTCCCGTGATTGATGACAGTCAAGCCTGTAAATATTGCTCCCAAATGCACAATTGCTTCCTATACAGCAGGTAAAAAAAAAAAAGTCTGACTAATGTTTCTGAATAAGTTTGAATAATCATAGCTTTTGATACAGTGACTTCATTTTTGGGGTTGACAGCTTCTTATTTCTTTATTGAGGACTCTTGCACCCCAAAAGAATCTTTCACAGACTCCCTTGCAACTTTTGTAATGCAGGGTCTGATCTCCCAGAGACTTAATGTGTTTGCTCAGGTACACTTTCTGCAAGAGAAAATCTGAGATAAGTCTCAACAAAATACTTGATGACAATAACAGATCTGTTATATATAGGTTAATAATATTTAAAATTTTAAAAAGCTATGTTCTTGCAACTCTTTGAAAGAGGGGGTCTTTTGGGCCTGGATTCTGGCTGGACAACAACTCTTTCACTTTGACTGTAGAAGATTGTTTCCCTGTAGGATATCACACAAGTAATGATGCATTGATATTACTCTGCTAAAGTGTTGTTGCACTGCCTTTTAAAGAGAAGTAATGAGCAGATATTTGCTAAATTTTCACATTAAGTTTTAGTCTTTATGCTGCACAAAACCAGAACCATCTCTTATACTGAAGAGATCAAATGAGATATGTTAGAACAGGAGAGCCTTTGGGGTGATCTTGTGTAAACAGGATACCTGATTGTTTTTAAAATTGTAGGGGTAAAATTGTATGTGGAGGGAGCCAGCTTTGTGGGCATCCATGATATGTCTTTGTAAAGTAGGTTTTGTGCAATATTACTTCTAATACTCAGTTGTTACAGCACCAAGATTGTTTCTAACTGGGTAGCTATTCACTGGTGAACTAACTTTTTGCTATTTGATTGTATTTTGTATGTGTGACTAGGTATAATATCTGATGTTTAGTTTTGAGATAAATTGACCTGTCTGTGTATTAAGTATTAAATTCTTTTTGCTTAGCTAGATGTCAATGTAGTATTAATCTGTTACTGTAAGAGGAGTAAAAAATCAACTATGTAAATGTATACAGTACTATCTTTGAAATGCCTTTAATTGGTCTTTGATTAACTTATGTTCCTTGATAATTCAAAATCATAGAGATGATGTAAAGTTACTAATAGAAGATTACTCACATGAACAAAGGATACAGATTCAACTTGACTTCAGTGATGATAGATTAATCTGTCTGGTATGTTACAGTATATATTTAGCTTGTCGTTATGTACATATGGACTTGCAAGCAAATAGATGCAGGTTGATTCTTTCCTGTGCTTGGTTGTATTTGTAGAGCTGTGGAGCAGAAGATGGCCAGTGAGTCCTTTCCTCCTGCTCTGGCAGCTGTTATTGACAGAGAGACCCAGCACCTGAAACCCTCCCACCTGGAGTATTTCAGCCTGTGGTACCTGATGTTAACCCTGGAGCTGCAAAGTGGGGAGGGTAAAAAGGGATATAAAAATATATGGATGACACCTTCTTTGGAAAGGTGAGGTATAATTTCTAACCTGATGCAAATGATGGTTCCTCCTAAAAGTGAGACACTGTCCACTGGTGTTTTCACTGCCAGCAAAGCTAGATGTTTTCTAGTGCTGTTAGAAGCACTCAAATATGCTACTTACATAGGTGGATTTTTTGAGCTGTGACCTAATGGAGACATTAACCTAATGAATTTACAGGTTTTGTGTTTGCACTATGGTGTTTGCTTGGTGGTTGTTGTTAAGTCACACATGGGAAGCAGCAAATTGCAGCCTCAGCCTTAAGAAGCACAAGTGTAATTCTATTTGTGTCTCTGTGGGCTGAGGCTGGTGCTGACTGATCCCAGTCCATGGTGCTGTTTCTGAAGGTTTGCTTGGCACAATGACGATTTGTCAAGTGACTGATTAGTCTTCCCAGTTTTGATTGTGTTTGGGTTGTTATTTGCTGCTTTGGGAATTTTTTTGTGTTTTGGTTTTGGCGGTTGGTTGTGGGTGATTTTATTTTTTTTTAATATTTCTCTTCCTGAGAAGTTATTAATATTAAAATATATTTCTTTTTCTCATATATTCAGAGAGAAGGCTGGAGATTGTGTTGGGAACTTGATCAGAGTGGATGAAGTACGTGAAATTTCCGAGGGACAGTACCTCCATTTTTTTCAACGCAGAAATGGTGCCATACCTGCAACAAACCTGTTGGTTGGTGATCGAGTGGTTGCGAGTGGAGAGGAAAAGGGTTTACTTGGTTTGGCTACTGGCTATGTTAGAGAAGTCACTGGAACAAAAGTCTCCTGTTTGTTGGGCAGGTAATAGGACAAAAAGAAAGATACCTTTTTGAAAACACTGTGGTCCTGGCTTCAGGAAGGGCACTTCTAGGTGTCCAAAAACCTGTGACTTGTTCTAACTCTTCCTGCTGGGCTTGGGGTACCCTTCAGAAATTCTCTTCTCTTGATGGAAAATGTCAGTACTTGGTCAATGGATATGCCTGTTGATTTAACATAAAAACATGTGTAAACTCCATTTACTCACGTCTCCAACATGAGGCTATATGGATACAGTAATATCCATAACTTTCATTATTCAGTCTGTATTGTCTTTAAATTGGGCTGTGAGCATGTTTTACTTAGATTAGCTAATAGTGTATCTTTATTAGCTAATGTTTCACACTGGGATCTCTGGAAGATACCATTGAACATGTAGTAATAAGTCTTTCATCATCAACACACTGCTGGTGAACAGAATTATTTTATCCATGTTATGTCATCCTTCAGGAATTTGTCAAAGCTCCCCAAGAACACCGTATTTAGGTTGGATCATGAAGAGGGAGATTTTGGTGTAGGAGTCCCTTTTGAAAATCTTTCTAAACTGATGAAAGATTCTCCGATCAGGTATGAAAAACCAAATTAATTTCACACTTCCAATCTTTTCAGATAAAGTTTCTTAACTGGTAACTCTTCTTGCAACTCTTGTTTTGTTTTGCTTTTATCCACAGTGAAAGGCTCCGCAACTTGATAATTGACTTCCAGAAACCACGTTTCATTCAGCACTTGAGCTCTGTCCTTCCTCCAGAAGCAAAGGAAACTGTTGCAAATATTTTAAAGGGTACAAAGTGACTTTCTACTCCTCTGTTTAGTAGTCTCTATAGCCAAAGTGTTTATCAGGCTGAAAATAAGGGGTTTTTCCTCCTTTGGGGCCCAGTGGTAGTTTTCTGCTTAGAACTTAAAACCAAGTTCTTGTCTTGCATGTCTTCCAACTGGCTGAAGACTAATTTAGTCACAGGAAGACCTGATCAAACACAACTGCCCATACACAATATATGGAGGTGGTCATTTAGGATATTAGAAAAAAAAAGTCACAAAAAGGTCTAAAAATAAAAATGCCTTCAGTTCCTTATTTCTAGGATTGTAGTGCAGACCCTTTACTACTTATCTTGTGTATCATGTTTAATGTCATATCTTCATTAGAACCTACAGACTTTGCTCAGTTCTTGTCTTTATTAAGGGCTTTAGCAGAAGAGGAAATTATAGTTTTGCTTTAACTTTAGTAATTGTTACAATTATGATGAAGTGTACTAACTTAATTTTGATTTTTCTCCTCAAAGGTCTAAATAAGCCCCAGAAACAGGCAATGAAACAAGTGCTACTTTCTAAAGACTACACACTTATTGTGGGTATGCCTGGAACAGGAAAAACAACTACAATATGTGCTCTAGTAAGATCATGTACCTTGATTTTAATTTTCTTTGTGAGATTTAGAGGACAGCATTAAACAAACTGTATAGTGTCCAAAAATTAGCTGTCATGACTGAAATCATATAGATACTGTTAGATTAAAAGAAGAAAATACACTTCTTTTTACTTAAAACCCTATATTTGGTAGAACTAAAGCTGTATTTTGTGGTGTAGGATTGTCTATTGCTTGTGTAGGAGTATGTGTGGGAGGGAGCAGATTGAAGTGTGATATTTAATCACTTCTGTGGTGCTTTAGTGTTAAAATTTAGTGTTAAAATTCTTTGGCTCCAAATATCAGCAAGTCCTCAAATTCTGAGCTACAGCTCAAAAAAGGGACTCCTTGGGAAGCCAGCAAATTGAACTCATTATTGGCTCTCTCCAGAGCCCCTTGTGCTTTTTGCCTTGTCAAACATGGGACTGCCCATTCTTGTGCAGAACTAATAATTTTTCTTTTCTTTCCCTTCTCTTTGCCACTCATTAGGTGAGAATTCTTTCTGCTTGTGGCTTCAGTGTTCTTCTGACTAGTTTTACACACACGGCTGTGGACAACATCCTGCTCAAGTTGGCCAAATTCAAAGTTGGTTTCCTGCGCTTAGGGCGAGCTCAGAAGGTCCATCCAGATATTCAGAAATATACAGAAGAAGAAATTTGCAGGTCCAAATCAATTAAATCTGTAACAGACTTGGAAGAAGTCTATAATAGTCAGGTGAGAAAAGTGGGTTTTGCTGCAAGTTGTTAAAGATAATTACGTCAGGATTTTATGTTCGGATGCTGCAGAGGAGAACTCATCCCAAGGGTATGGACTGCTGTAAGAAATCTGAGCTGGAAAAGATACTCAATCTTGGCTTCAATTTGTTTATAGCTGATAATGACCAGCATAGACAATGCTTCTCAACTTTCAGCCTGTTAATGTCCACACAAAGTAACTTATCATTGTAAGTAATAAGTCCCAAAGACTTCAGTGCTTTTCTCTGAGATCTTGTCACAGGAGTCACTTCAGGCAGAGAACTTGGCATCACTGAACACATGGCAGGAATGGGTTATTTGCTCCAGTCTGCTCTAAAGCTGGCTTTGTTTGTCACTTGCAATTGATGCAAGAATACGTCAAGCTGTTTAGTTTAAGGGGAAGTATTTTTCCTTTTAACCTGGAAAACACAGTAGTAAAGGATATAAAATGTACCTTATCCTTAAAGTGTGTCTCAATTTTCAGCCAGTGGTGGCAACGTCTTGCATGGGAGTAAATCACCCTATCTTTGTTCAGAAGCAATTTGATTTCTGCATAGTTGATGAAGCTTCCCAAATAAGCCAGCTCATCTGCCTGGGCCCACTGTTCTGCTCCAAAAGGTTTGTGCTGGTGGGGGATCATCAGCAGCTGCCTCCACTTGTGCTGAATGCAGAAGCAAGGTAAGATAAAATGCTTCTGGGCAGTTACTAGTAATGAATTCTGGGAAAGCTCTTGCAGTGTTCTGACTGACACACTTTTGGGTTTTGTTTTTGGGTTGTAACAGAGATCTTGGCATGAGTGAAAGCTTATTTAAAAGGCTGGAACAAAACCAAAATGCTGTTGTCCAATTAACTGTGCAATACAGAATGAATAGGTAATTTAAACTTTTATTTATTACGTTGTGTTTTTAATGTGGGATTGAAAGGGCAAGATTTTTATCCCTTTTCTTGTTTTTTTAAATCTTTAGTAAGATTATGTCACTGAGTAACATGTTAGTGTATGAAGGCAAACTGGAATGTGGCTCAGAGAAGGTGTCAAATGCCACTGTTAACTTGCCCAACCTAAAAAAATTGAAACTGGACCTTGTGGATGCTTCAAAAATGTGGCTGAAAGAAGTACTTGATCCAGACACCCCTGTGTGTTTTCTGAACACAGAGAAGGTAAAGTTCATTATGTTCTTTCAGCATTGTATTTTGATGCAAGTTCTCAACACAGTCAACATGTAAAACTTGATACAGCTTAGGTAGGGTAAAATAGGGAACTTCAAAGAATGGTTTTCTGGTTCCATGGAAAATGTGCAGCACACACAAATGGTGGTGGTGTAGCTGATCAGCTGCTGCTGGAACCATCACATCTGGGAACAGCTGAAATGTTTAATTCAGGTAATGTTTCAGAAAAGATGGAAGGTACTGGAGACTTTGTTCTCGTGTCCAGTGTAGCTCCAAGCGTGTAGCCAGTAGCAGGAATAGCTATAATTCTCCATGGAATTTTGCAGACTTTCTATATGCTGAAGTGTAAGGGAGGAGTAAGTTGGTTTAGATATGTCCTTTCATGAGGACACCAATTTTTGCTGGAAAATTAAAACTCAAGAGTGGATAAAAATTCTTCAAAGAAGCTGACTAGAAACAATGAGGAGGAGTTTAAATACATGTAGAAAATGATTAATAAATTAGTACATATTTGTGGTCTCTAGTACTTGTCACTATAGTTGGTGATTGAATTATGAACATTTGAGTCTTCCTTCCTTCCTTAGCAGGTTTTCTGTTGATTCCTATTAATACTGTGTTTTGCCAATAATTGAATCAGCTGATGATCTTTTGTGCTGACTCTGGGTAGAACTCTCCAACCTCCCTGTGCTGTCTACAACATTCTACAGCATTCCTATTTTTTTTATGACAATTCTAATAGAGTCTCTTCAATGACCTAAAAAGAAACAGTGTTTACTTTGATGACTTAGAGAAATTTCTACAAATGCCTAAACTAAACAGGGACAGGAATGCCTCGATAGCTGCAGTCCCTTTCCCAGGAAAGCAGACAGTTGGTCCCAGGGAAGAGACTTGTTAAGAGGAAACTGGCTGGAACACTGTTCATCTGGTAGTCAGAGAGAAATTGGTAATGGGGAAGCCAGAGTTTCTGTTCCATTTTGAATTTTTTTTTTCCTAGAAAGCCCATCTTGAGTGTAGGACAGCTGTTCTGTTTGTAGAAACAGGAAGAAAGTTTCTCTTTCCAAAATATTCTTGGGTTTGTTCAGACATGGGGCTATAATATCATTTCTCCTTTTGGAC